CTACATGATAATGTATCTTTTCATTCCTACATGTGCGACCGTCATTTGCTATTCACTCCAGCACATGCAAAGAAGAACCAACGGTTTCATCTTACCAGCACTGTATATAGAAACACAATTTATAGTTTTTGGAAGGCTTTTCTCAAAATATAATTTTAAAAGCACTTTTAGGTGGTATTTATATCGGATTTTGAAAAGTACCTAGTTCCATATTTTTTATTATTTTTTTCTTGATTATCTTTGGTCACATTAATGAGATACCTTGTAGTTTTTTTATTTTAGAATTAAATAATTTTTTGAATTTCTTTTTATTTATTTACCTTTTTAGTAATATTCGAAATAATATTTATTAATGCGCGTTAAAAAAGTGTTTCTATTTGCAAATAAATAACTTATGTCTTATGTCAATGCTTTTCCTATTAGTTAATATATTTTTTAAATAATATACCATTAAAATATGTATGGTAAGCTCCAAAAATCAAATTCAAGTCTTTCAGTGGGCATTAATTTCATTTTAAATTTTTAGAAATCAGTGGAGCGAGTTATTTTTAGTTCGTAATTCACTCACTCCACTCTCTTGTCACTTGTCAAAATTAATAACTATCAATAGGTATCAATTTTTTTTTAAGTTCACTGCAAATTAGGAATGTCCGATGCTTGGCTTACAATACATGTTTTAATATTGGAAGAATATTGGTACATAGAGCTTTCAAAAATATGTTAAATCACAGTTTTAAGAACCCGATTGACAAGTTCTCTCAAGACAATTATGTCTGTGAGGTTAACATGAGAAGGCAATGGGGTAAACTAGTCGTATATCACACTGAGATTTTAAATTGGTTAACTTTAAAATAAAAGAACATTTGTAATTTTAAAGGTTCCTTTTCCCTTCCGAATCAATACGGCATTGGAAATTTGATTTTTATTTCAAATTTGAAGTTAAACCAGCTCAAATTCTCATTGCACGTCTTTTAAATACCATGAGTGTATAATTCCGAAATTAAAAAAGGTTTTTCAAATATTAGCTGAATTTTAAATATAGGTCCTTATTTTTAAACATGGGAATATTTATTAAATTATGTAACATTTAAAAAAGCAAAAAAACACAAGGAGGTATTCAAATCAAAAAAAGATTAACGACGTCTAAGCTACATAACGTCTAAACAGCTATAATTCTATAATATAAACAAAATAATCTTTCAAAGAAGCCTTTTGAAAAATTAGTACCTATAAATTGATATGATGTAAAAGAAAAACAGGCTTATTTTTGCACGTAGAATATTATCTTGTTAAGTTGATTGATTTTTAACCGACTTCAAAAATGAGAAGGTTCTCAATTCGTCGGAATCTTTTTTTATGTATGTTCAGCGATAATTCTTTACTACATTGTCCGATTTCTACGATTCTTTTTTGAAAGAAATGGAGTACTTCGGGGGTGGTCCCATATAAATTTGGTCAAGATCTAATGATGGGGTCCATTAGAAAATCATCAAACTCTTCATTTTTATGTATTTTCAGCGATTTCTAGGATTCTTTTTTAATTAGAAAGGGGATAACTCAGGGGTGATTCCATATACAATTGGTCAAGATCTGATGATCTATGAGAAAATAAAAAATCTCAATTTTTAAGGGCATCTGCACGATTTTGCAGTCGGTTGTTTAAAATTACTTTTATAACTTATCATATTATATTTAATATTAAGGAGGGTACAGATCTGAGCACGTACGCGTATGAGGCAAGCCGAGGCCGAACCGAATGCCTCGTGCGACGCATTTTGTATACACGAATGGTGGACGCACGAGGAGCTGTTCGCCACTGATTCAGTAAATTCGCGATCACACAACCGTATATCCAGCACATTCGTAAAATTAAAACAAAAATGAAGGATGAGGATGACATCGCGAAGTTGAGTGCATGTTTTATTATTTTATCAGACACATTAAAGAAATAGGAGAAAAAGGAATCGATGATCGATTCCCTACCAAGGATATTCTTTTTTTATGGTGTTACAGAACTGGCGCTTTGCTCTCTTAAGATATCATGCTGATTATTTAAATCCAGGCGAAGTAAAACGTTTTCCTGGTTCCACTCCATGCAAAATAAATCCTAAAAACTCGCTACAATCTATACGGTGCTGTATGGTACAAATTCCCCGTCCAGACTGAGCACGTACTGCGCACTGCCTTCCTTTGATATACCGCCAACAAAAGGATCGGGGCCAGGCCGTACGGCGCACATAACGAGGCGATTTGCCGCGCCTCGGAAGCCCGACCACATCTGTATGCTCATGCGCCCTCGGCTTGCCTCATACGTGTACGTGCTCAGATCTGTACCCGCCTTATGTTGATGACTAATTGGTTTGTTCGGCTCATTGAGATATAATAAAGAGGAGATGCTATAACGATGCTAAAGTATCTGCACCTTTGCATTACTCTTTTTCGTCACATGTCAAACTCGAGATAGTCAGTTTTGGTGAAAATAAATGCCATTTTTGTTAAATAGTTTCATTTAAATGATATAAAATCATTTTCATTCAGTCAGTCTTCAAATATAAAATTATTGACTTCAAAGAAATCAAAGTAGCGTCCGATTACAATAAGAAGAACACAGCCACGTCATTATTTGGCAGAGTAATTCATTGACTATTGCCGCTTACTGGTGGTTTAGTGGCGTGTTAATATTAAGGAATATAGGAAATATTTTTTATACCCAGCAACTCACTTATACTATACTTTATTTATTGATAGTTATAGATACTATGTAAGTATTTGAAATTCGAAGTAATGGCTACCACTCAAATCAAAATTTTCATTACACTTTTCCGTCACTTGAAGTGCGTACAGCTGTCATATCGCAAAATAGCGTTTATGTCGTCACTACTTTATTATATCTCTATGGTTCGACTTGTGGCCAGAACTGGTCAGAAATATCCCGGAGTTGACACAATAGAGAGTTATTGCAAATTTATATAACGTCAGCCACTAATAGTAACAACGTAATTAGAGGCAAATAAAGTCCATGCTAAAATAAGACTTATTGCAAACCTGAAATTTTGGCATTAGAGTCCTTGTCATACATATTTCTAACCTCATTTTAAATTACAGTTAATCTTTTTTGTTGTTTATATTATTGTACATAATATGGAAGAGGCATTAGAAATTACCATCTTAGAAGGTGTGATGACGATGATATTAAATATTTACTATTAAAAAACTTCGAACTGATACGAATGTTGGCGAGCGCACCCGAGAACTACTGTCCTTAAACATCCACAATTAAGGACAGTCACAATCTTTATTAAAGTCAGTTCTAGAATGTAAGAGATCTGCGCTTGCTCAGATGTCAAAATAAGAGCGGCACTAATAGTGACTGACCTTAAGTGAACTTGCAATAACTCTCTAGTAAACTTTATGACAGTCGCGTTATTTTCAGAACCAATCGGAAACTATCCAGGACCGTTTAAATTGGAACCAAACCAAACCAATTGTGAACTGATTAGTAACAATCCCAAATTTTGAACGATTGCCCTGACAATTCTAAGCAGTTTACTAATTAGTTGAAACGGTTTTGAATTAACCAAGTTAAACACACCAATAAAATTATAAGTAACTTGCGACATGTCTATGATATGGCTTTGTGAACTGTCTATATTTGGGTTTTAAATGCTACTCGTTTTTTTTTATAAAGGCTCCGTGTGTATTGGTTCTGACAATTGGTCCTTCAAAATTTAAACAGTTACAGTTACTTATAGGATACAAAAACAAAAACCAAGCAAAAAAAGAAACAAAAACAAAAAACAAAAAAAAACAAAAAAACAAAAAAACAAAAAAACAAAAAAACAAAAAAAACGAAAAAACGAAAAAACGAAAAAACGAAAAAAACGAAAAAAACGAAAAAACGAAAAAACGAAAAAACGAAAAAACGAAAAAACGAAAAAAAGAAAAAACGAAAAACGAAAAAGGAAAAAAAAAAACAAAAATACAGAAACAAAAAAAACAAAAAAAAACAAAAAACGAAAATGACGAAACGACCAACAGAAAATTATAGACATTGTTTTCAACTTTCTAGGTTCGCTGTTTCTCATATAAATGTCAAGAATTTTAAATTCGTACGTAGCTGGAAACTATTTTTTAAATCGTTGTTTTTTACTTTAAATTTGTCGGGTTATTGCCATAAGTAAAGTCTTGTGTTGTTTGTTCTTGTCAATTTATTTTTTTGTTGAAATCAAATTGGCGCCCAACGTGGTATAAAATAATGAAAATTGAGATTTGTAATAAAAGTAGTACATGATAAAAGAAAGATAAACAAGTGGTTGAAACAAATGAACGTTCCGTTTTGCTTCGGATGAGGTGATTAACTATGTCATTCAGTTTTTATTTCACTTTATATAATATTAATTAATATTGACCACAAGGGTGAGTTGATGTTAATATAGAAGCGAAACAAAGATAGAGTCCTTTAAATCTCTTTAGATATTAAAAAAAAGTTGCGATCGGTTTCAAATTTAAGCTACATTTCATCTGGCATACCATATTATCATTAACTTTATATAAATTTTATATAAATTTTTTATTGTTGGCATTTGTCTTATAGCACAATGGATGAATCTTTTGATTAGTTAATGGTTTAAAATATCAAAAGTAAAAAGGAAAACGACGTGGCGGCGTTACATTTTTTGGTGGGCTGTTGGTAAAGAAGAAGAACTTTGACGTCAGTATTTCAAACAAAATGGCTACGAGTGGGTAATTATAGTTTATGATATGGCAACCCCGTGAGCCTGGTGATTTGACAGGGTATATGATATAGACATTTATATAGATTGATCATCGATGTTTTTCAAAATAAACATAAGCTTATTACTTGATTGCCTTGAAGTAAAAATGTGGGTAATATTTTTTTTACTATATTCAAAGTCTGAAAATTGGTTTTAAAACACATTTTTCCTAAACTGATTCTGACTAATAAGCACTTGCGAGGCAATATGGCCCCTCGCAAACGACCCGTTTTGAACAATCTATATAATTATATATGTATCATTGACAATGTCAAAGACAACAGACCCACATGGTTGCCACATGGTTGCCACATCATAAACTGTCATTACCCACGGGCAGCATTTTGATAGGTCATTGGAATGCCTAATTAGGCATTCCAACGACCTGTCAAACAATAGGTGCCAGTGGGAAATTTTTGTATATTTAAGGGGGTAGCGACATAGTCTTGCAACTTGGACGCTATTTTTATTCGAAGTAGTACCTGCCAAGCCTGCCAATTTATGAAGAAATGTATAGGTGGGTTTTTTAAATATTATTTTTATTGTGTTTGACATAAAATATTTAAATGTAATCCATTATTCATGATTTTACGTAAAGTAGATAGAATACACCATATGTCGCCACCCTTAGATATACCAAACCTGCCCACTGGTAATTCATTTGTTTGGAATGCCTAATAGCGATGTTTGACTTTCATAGCCACCCTCGATTTCAAAGGAAACTGAACGACATAGGTAAACAAATTAAACGAGAACTGTCCATTTTGCTATAATTGAATAATTACTCAAGTATGCTGATAGTTTCCAACTGCATATACGATTTCGGAATAAACATTTTAAGACGCGGAAAAAGGCTTCTTCAAAAGTTACTTTTCGATGGATTCAGATATGCGTCTTGAAATTATATATTTTTACAACACTAATACAGGGTCACTACATCCATAATAATATAATAGGTATTTTCGTTTTAATAATATTTAGATTGTCTGCGCTGGTACAAAGCAAACGCGAGAACATTTTTTCTTAAAACAACCATTGATGGAAAAACTTTTTAAAAACTAATTTTCTAAGATACATTTATTATTGCAACAAGTATTTCCATGAATTTTACATTTACGAATATACAGACCAATTTTACAGAGAACACGTTATCAATATAACCACACTTTTTCACCAATGAAAATGAAGATATGTTCGTAAAATTCCTGTAATATTAGTAACTTTAAATTAAGCTGATTTAATAAAGTGCGGATGGAATATGGAATTATATAGGGTCGTGCAAAATTTTATACTCCATTTACCTTTGTTTAGTATTGATAAAATGTTAAATCGGTCTGTATATTTTGTTTCAAGTTAAAACTTGTCCTCTCAAATGAATATTAAGCAAATACAAGGCATGTAGGTAACAATTAGAGAATGTTTGATAGGTTTAAGTTTAGGAAGTCTTATGACGGAACTATGCAAGAGTTTCTGCGGAGATGCAAGGTAAAAATATAAAGCGTTTTTTTTAAGTTTCAGTTTACATTAGGATTCTGTATATTCGATTGCAATTATTTTAATCGATGTATGAGAGATGTGAAGAAATCTACAAGACGGTGAAAAAAATGAATTTATTTATGATGTTACTATGCATATTTATAAAGAACATTTAAATTTTCCGATAAAGTACCCTAATGTCTAGATTTTTTTGATTTGGGATAATAAAAAATTCAAGATCTAGAGCATCGTCACAATAGGGCCGAAAAATGATTAAAAAAACTAAACTAATTTACCTAACCTCTGCGGCCTTGAGTCATCGCGGGTTGATTCGCAAAAAAATATAAATAAATTGATAATTACAAAACTTAACTAGGCCGTACAGGTTAGGTTAATTAGTTAAGCTTTTTAAATCGATTTATCTTAAAACAATAGCATTATTTCAAAAGGCGCTATTTTATTAATGCGCTGTTTCTTTCGGGTGCTGTTTTGACTGACGCTCTTTCGATACACGCTATTTCGTTCAAGTGCTCTATTAATACGCGCTATTTTGAGTAGGCGCTATTTCGTTCAGTGCTATTTTGTTTAGGGCAATTTTGAACAGGCACTCAAAAAATAGCGCTATTTTGATAAGCGCGTACCTGCGACCTTATCTGTGAAAATAAAAAACAGCGTCAAATATATAGAGCCATTTAGAAAGACTTGAGTTGATGTGAACAAAAAAATATTTTTCATAAATACACTTTAGAAAGTCAAAAACAAATTCACTGATGCATGTTATCGCAATGAGGAAAAATAAAAAATATCGAGCATAAAAGACGTAGAATTAGTTCAGTTTAAGAACATAAGAAGTCGATGCACAGTATTTGGGAATCCTAAAATAAACTGCAAAAAATACAGTGCCATTTTCTCCAGTGTCATTGAATATTTCATTGTTACAGTTTGTCCTCCTCTTTGACCCTGCATTTAGCGAAATATAGAAATAGGGAAACCTAGCGAGTTTGGCAAAAGGGCATATTCGTTTTGTAAAAGTATATATATTATTGGTATATATGGTATATTTGCCCACATGATTATTGCACATTAGTATCTACTATTTTCTAACGTGGTGTTTAATTTTCTCTAAAAAAATACTACTAACTATTATACCTATTTTTGTTAGTCTAATTTTGCAATTCACTTTAACAGTTTTTCATTGGTTACGTGCATCAGGATTTTTAACATATTTACGAAATTAAATTGAATTTTATCTAGTTAGCTAGGACCTAGGACCTTAATACTTGTTTAATGTACATTTTAAAGAAGTTCTATTCTATAGATCTTTAGAATTAAGACATTGAGATAGCTATACTTATAGCGACTTTGTTAAATCTCATTAGGTGACATTTGTCAATACTCACTTTTCAATATTCTCATTTATCAACATTGTCATTTGTCAACACTGTCATTTGTGAACATTGTCATTTGTCAATATTGTCACTTGTCAACATTTTCACTTGTCTTCATTGTAATTTGTCATCATTGCAATTTGTCAACAGTCCCATCATGTTATACAGTCATTGAAAGAAATGTATAAACTCGGCTTTTCCTTTTTGGTTTTTTAAATCTCAGAAGGTGCCATTTGTCAATACTTTCACTTTTCAACATTTTCATTTATCAATATTGTCATATGTCAAAATTGTCTTTTATCAACATTCATTTGTTAACATTGTTGTTTGTCAACATTGTCATTTGTCAACATTGTAATTTGTCAACATTGTCACTTGTCAACATTGTAATTTGTCATCATTGCCATTTGTCAACAGTCCCAACATGTTAACACGTCATTGGAGGAAACTTTAAAATCAACTATTTCTTCTTTTAAGACTTTGTTCATGTTACTAGATAGATAAAAAATTATGATTATGAACGAAATCGTAAACTAATGATAGATCTAGAGTTATTAGATTTTCTTTTAAAATTCTACACTAATGACGTTTTATCGGTATCTACTTAATATTTAATAGCTTTAATTCTAGATTTTAGGTATATACGTATATGCCCTTTGCCAAAATTAGATCATAGATACATTATATTGCTAAAGGGATAGATAATTGCTTTTATAATTTAGAATATAGGTTATTAAATAAATTTTTGTTAAATCATGGACACGTTTTATTTTATATTTTCCCAACAATATTTTTTGCTATACGTATGTAAGAATATTTAGACAAAACGGGGAAGCCTTCGTTCGTTATTATTAATAATATTAGTGAAATCCATAGCAAGTGTAGACTTGGTAAAATGTTTTTCTGGAAAAATTGGTAGGTACAGTTTTTCCATTATTTCTAAAACGTGTCCATGCGTTACAGAAACGTCGATTTTACAACAGAAAAATATATTAATATATTTTTGGTCAACAAACGAATTTAGGTTCGGACATTCTAAGAAATATAGATTGGATTTTTTGTGTTTTGTCACGAGAGGTATTTTATTACAACATTTTTTAATACATCTACTTAAGAGCTATAATTTAATCCTATTTTTTTGGAGAATCACAGTGAGTCGTACAAGTTTACATAACTTACAATATCAGTACATTCATACAGGTATACTTATAAATTACGTGGCGGGACAATGTTTTTTAATTTAATTTAAGAGTATTTTAGAATGCTAGATATTATTTACAATATTAATTTAAAATTATATATAAACCGTGTATACCTAATGTTACATTATTTTTTTGCTGCAAGAAAATTGCACTGATAAATATAGGATAATTTATTATTCAACGTAATATTGGTGTCACTAAGAAAAAAATACCAAAACTCTAAATTTTTAAGAAAATAAAATTCAAAATTTTGAGAAATAAAATAAAAATATTGAGAAAATAAATAAAAATTTTGATAATAAGAACATCAGAAATCGAAGTGAACTGCAATTCTTAAAAAATGTAAAAGACGAGAAATAACTGATTGAAACAAAAACTATTTATATTATGCTGAATTCTCATTGATACAAACAGTGGCGTGCCTGACTCGGCACGCCCCTGGATACAAACCAAATGAATTATTGTCAAAAGAAGCCAATCAAAGAATATTTCTTACAGGGATCAAGTTATCAAAAAAATTTAATCTATCTAGAATTACGCGACAATATAAAACTTGGCGAAAGAACATTGAATCCGAATCAAGTGGTTTCGAGGAGTTTTTTTTTCTCTTTTACTGCGACAGGCAGATATTTAGTAATTGCAGGTAACGTTACATTTTCTTTTTTCCCAATATTTCTATTTTTTTTTCAAAATTTTGACCTATTTTCTCAATTCTGATTTTTTAAATATGTTTATGTGCACTAGTTCTTCGTCGTATTTTTTACTCTAATTTTACCCTAATACAGACTAATTAATTTTTGCAACTTTTTAAACTAATTTTGTGCGTTATTAAATGTTTATTTAAGTATTTACTACACTTATTCAGTCACGCAGCAAGTTTCTTTTTAATAATTTTATTATGAATAGTAGGTATATTCCATTCCGGTACCAACTAAATTTCTAAACAAGTATTAAACTGTAAATGTGCGAAATCTGAGCCTGAGAGAGTGTGTGTTTCATTTAAAAAGTATTTACTAAAAAAAAAGAAAATTTACAGAACATTTTAGTCTGTATTATAGACTTGCGGAGAAATGTCATTTATCCAAAAATTGACTTGATTATTAAATCTTCTCAAAAATTATTGTTTTTCTTTCAAACAATAAATATTTCTTATTAATTCCAGAAAAATCAGATGGAAAAAATTTAATTTGAGATCGGAAAAAGTAATTTAGATATTGTCGCCGCCGATGACAGTTCTTTACTGATTTCTATCTAAATGCACAAAATACCATTCTTAAATTATTAATAAACACAAATTGTACATTTTGATTTTTATTATTGCTTTTGTATATTGATTTTTTAATATTTATTTTTTTTCTAACGAAAAATCAGTTGATATGGCAACAGTTCTAATTCATTTGTGCTGAAAAACAAATCACATTTAATTAACAAACATTGCCTCGCCACGCTGAGATCCGGGTAAAACACTAAAACTTAATTTAAATAGACCCTACTATTTATAAACCTTGTGTCAAATCCTTAATGGCTTGCAGTATTCGTTTGACGTGGCCCACCTTGGTGACCCCTAGATCCTTGAGGTCTCTTCTGGCGAGGGTTAGTAATTCGCGACCCCTAATGTCGTTTTTTTCGAAGCTCTCTACATATTCGGAAAGCTGAAGCGTCTCTAACCACGTCGCCACCTCCTGGGTGCCCCAGGATGCGACTTCACGTTTCTGAGAGTTTTGTTGCTGGGAGGACGCAGGGCCCTTGGCGCGAAATTTCAGCCAGAATAGGCCTTTGCGTTTGTGTTTCTGCAAAAGAGAAAATAGATACAAATATAAGATAAGCTGATATCCAGAGTTAAATTATATTTAACCTGATCTCCTTCAAGCGCCTGCAGGTAGACCAAGCTACCAGAAGCCGTATCGTACATAACGCATCGTCTCATCTCCAGCTCAGTATTGGCCAAACTCGCGCTAAGTTTGCTCTCCAGGTCCTCTCTTAGTTTAAGTTTGTCCCCTCTGTCGTGTAGCAAACAACAACTTTCTTCGTACAGATGTTTTACAGTGGATACCAGTTTGGTAAACTCCTCCCGCAGCTGCGGTCCTTCTAATAATTTCCCGCAAGGGTGAATTTTTTCTAAACAGACATCCACATTGTTGGCTAACGAATAAAGATCGACCTAGAATAATAATTAATCTCGTTTTGGTATCTAAAAGAATATTCTTTATTTCTAAACGTACTTCTAAATTGTGACTTATTGCTAGAATTTTTATCCATTTGGTGAGCGTAGTAACGCATTCAATGAAGTTAATCAGCAAATGATGTTCTTCGTCCGAGAACAACACGTCAGGCTCAGTAGACTGCATAGGCTTCTCCATGAACGTAACGGTATGCTTTTCCTTCTCGACGTGATGCGTGGGCACCACCCCGCTGAACGAGTGCTGTCGAATCTTCTCGATGTTGACTCCAAGGAAGGATTTATCGTGCGAAGGCATGCTTTGTCTGGTAAGGCTCGATCTACCCTTATCGTGAGATATCGATGGACGAGGTTTTGCTCCCTGCGCTGAGATGCTTTGACGCTGTTTCTCCTCCCAGGATTTAAGCGAATTCTCCAAAGATCTATTTCGACACAGCATCTGCATGCGATTTTTGTGAATGATGCGGATAATGCCCGGAGGTTGGATCCACGCCTCACCGTCTACTTGGATCGGTACACCTTCTTCGCCTAAAATAGGAAAGATTTAAAGTCTTGGTTTAATAACAGGAAAGGAATAAGTAGTGTACACAATCGTCGCTTGCCTAAAATATTAATTTGAATGCTCTGGCATTGCGCGATTCGATGATGTTGAAGATTAATGAGTCTGGAAGCCGCCATCTGTACAGATCCAAAAACTGCGACGACTTCTAAAATCTTGTCGTCAAACGAAGGGGCTAGGAATAGATCTCCGTCCTTGGAACTACCCCAAAAGTTAGTGCCGCCCATAAAACTAAAATCAAAAATATTTTCTCATGCCAAGATATACTTTCCTGAGTTTGATTATGATTTATTCTACCATTTACATCTTGGCTTACCTTGGAATGTTCAATATCACAATACCCTGCAAGCTGGGTAACGGTATCCTTTGACCGTCGCACTCCAACTGAACTCTCTGCTCCAAATTCTTGTAAGTTTTTTGAAGCCATTGTTTGCTTCCAAGCACTCCGTACCACATGTAGTTCTTCGCCCTGGATCGGCATTTTTCTGGGTGTTCTTCGCGCTTGTGGTGAAAGTCTAGCGATATTTTGGCGTCGATACCGATGCCAAAGTAATTGTTCATCACTGAACGTTCATAGAATCCCTCCGATAGGGTTTCGTCAGGGTCTATTAAGGGACTGACAGCCGCACAGAGGGTGTCTGCGTTTGCTAATAGGCATTTGCTAATGAAACCACCTCCGGTATTTACGTCTGAAATTTATTTTTAATTAACTGTTAAGAAACAATTACAAAAAAAGGTAAAAACGATAAAAACGATAAAAACGATAAAAACGATAAAAACGATAAAAACGATAAAAACGATAAAAACGATAAAAACGATAAAAACGATAAAAACGATAAAAACGATAAAAACGATAAAAACGATAAAAACGATAAAAACGATAAAAACGATAAAAACGATAAAAACGATAAAAACGATAAAAACGATAAAAACGATAAAAACGATAAAAACGATAAAAACGATAAAAACGATAAAAACGATAAAAACGATAAAAACGATAAAAACGATAAAAACGATAAAAACGATAAAAACGATAAAAACGATAAAAACGATAAAAACGATAAAAACGATAAAAACGATAAAAACGATAAAAACGATAAAAACGATAAAAACGATAAAAACGATAAAAACGATAAAAACGATAAAAACGATAAAAACGATAAAAACGATAAAAACGATAAAAACGATAAAAACGATAAAAACGATAAAAACGATAAAAACGATAAAAACGATAAAAACGATAAAAACGATAAAAACGATAAAAACGAAAAAACGATAAAACTGATGTTAAAAATGGTAATGTTAAAAAAGTTAAAAAGAGCCGTTTATTTTGAAAGTGACCTAAGTCCATTTGCGATATCCAAGGGTTTGTGTAAATTTTGTTTAACTGCATTAATTAAACGTACTGATTATTCAACTAATGCAATTGTCCAAAAACTGTGATTAACTTGTTAAATACTAATTAATTAAAATTACCTTCATTACTGCCTTCGGACATTATCGATAATGAATATCTTATTTTAAGTATAAATGGACTTTCAAAATAACGGCTCGAATTAAAAAATGTTAAAAAATGTTAAAAAAATGTTAAAAATGTTAAAAATGTTAAAAAATGTTAAAAAATGTTAAAAAAATGTTATAAAATGTTAAAAAATGTTAAAAAATGTTAAAAAATGTTAAAAAATGTTAAAAAATGTTAAAAAATGTTAAAAAATGTTAAAAAATGTTGAAGAATGTTAAAAAATATTAATGGTAAAAGAATGTTTAAAAAATGTTAATAAAATGTTAAAAAAGTGTTAAAAGGTTAACAAACGATGAAAATGATAAAATAATAAAAAATGATAGAAAACAAACGATAAAAAAGAAAAAGTATAAAATAATAATAAATGAAGATAGAAATATGAAATATGATATCAACAATGATAAAAAATTAAGAAATTAAAAAATGAAAATAATATTAAAACGATAAAAAATTATTAAAAAACATTAAAAAATTATAAAAAGTAATGCAAGAATGATAAAAAACGATAAAAAATGGCAAGAAAAGAACGTAAATCTAATACTATTCCTAAAATCTTAGCTGTCTTGGAATACTTACTAGGCCATGTAGGAAGCCTGACTAACGGATTGATGATCGGCAACTTTCTATTTTGATTCTCCTCTTTATCCTTATCGCGTTTATCAGGATCCTTTTTCTCGGCAGACGATTCGTAAAATTTACTGCTCGCAGCCGCTGCGGCCAGGGCAGCCGCTTCGGCAGGATTCAGCATGCTGCAGCAGGATATTCGCCTGGTGGCGGCCGGCGACCTGGTCAGGAAGTTCTCCTGGCTGATGCCCAACAGATTGGAACTGGAGCTATTATTGCTGACGCTCTTGTCGCTCAGCCGGTCTCGCTCCTTCGAACATAGCAGCTCCAAGTCATGATCTAGTTCGCCCTCGATTTCTACGCGGATGTGCTCCAAGCGTTCGGAGCGCATCTGCTCTGTGAGGACGGGAGACGGGGGTTCTACTATTACGCTTACTTGGGGAAATTTACACTGGAATAGAAGGATACGGATGCTTCCTTCAGACCGTAATGGTTGCAGTTGCACTAAATTAGCGAGGGAGAGCATGCGTGACGCTATCGAATGTTAATAGTAAAGGTTAAAATTATGTGTAAAAAGAGATATTGGTACTTCTATGTTTACGCTGTTTTACAATTTTTGATTTATGATTTATTTACATTGTAATTAATTTTAAACAGTCTGCACCTGACGAGACACCATATTGTTCCTACACTTAGCCACACCTAGTGCTATCAATTTATTTATGAGAAAATCATTATTATGTCGTCTCCTTATTCAAAGGCGCCATTACCGTTTATACAGTTATTTGGAACTGGCTGAATAATGTTAAGGTGTTTAAATGATTGTATTAAAATGTGGTCGTTTTATGTTAAAAGCAATTTATTTATCTGTTTGTATAGTGTAATCGTATAAAAATTATAGCTTTATTTGCGACACTCACCTAGCAGCGCCTACGTTAAGGTGGAAAGTGACAGTTTTCGCTTTTTTTATAAAAACTACTATTTTAAAAAGATATATTATTGTATCTATTAATAAATAGTAATTCTTTATCTAGTATATTATTAACCATTACATCTCTTTATTATAAATTATTATTAATTAACCTTTACTATTAGTTCTGCTCATGCTCCTATATCGTTACTTACCGTATCTTCTCTTTCTTTGTCTTTATCGTCGTTCGACAGTGATATATTGGACAATTCTTTCTGCATTTTATTGAGATTTGTCTGGCTGCCCTTGTTGCTAATGCTCAACACTTCAGATTCCTCTATCAATGTGCTTTGCCTCGTGACGTTCGTTTCGGTTTTCGTCGGTTTCGTTGACCTGTTGAGACGCTTGAAAGATCTCCTGGCTATGTCGTTACCTAAAAAGCATTCTTTAAATTCAAAGTGAAAATGACTATTGGAATTTGGTATTAGTGAGGTGATTTGGATGGGTAATGAAAGATTGAATCAACGTTTTCTTAAAAGTAAAAAGAAAATAACGAAACTGGATTTGTGGAATAAAATACAAAAACTATATCCACTTTGCATTCAGATTTAAGAAGCTTTTCATTGCAGTATTATTGATCTCCAATTATTTAACCTCTTAGCGACTTTTCTACCTCTGGAAACAGGTACAAATTAAATGGACCAATATCAGGAGAGTAGAGAGAGTGTAGAACTTATGTGTTAATTGCAGACATATAATATGTTAACTTATGGACCCTTCGAAATAAAGATGAGATGCTTAATTATATTTGCACGTCAGATAAATAGTGACTCTAGTGAATCAGCGGCTGGCCTGCCGTGATTGGACAAATATATTAACACATCCACCATAGTGGGCTGGCGCGCTCTGGTTTTGTACCTCTGTCTAATCAATGGATCGCTTATTCTGTATCGTTCTTTTGGCGCAATTGTATCAGACAGCGACAACTTCAATAATTCATTTTTGAGAAGCCAGTTTAGATATGATTGCTCCATGAAAATGAAAGAATTACGGCCAGTTGCAGGAATGTTAATTAAAATTTAGTAACCTGATAAACTTTGACATAATGTTTTTAGACTGTGAAGATAATTTATTCTAGAACGGAAGAGCCAAAATTAGCTTAGGAATGAATTAGTATAAATAGAGGTTTAGTCAGGGCCGTGTATCGGTGGGGTCAGATGTCTGTGACAATAACTTACTTACCTAATAAATTTTGTTACATATTTTATTCTTGAGTATAAAATTCTAAAATTTCTATTAGTTGCAGGTGGCGAAAGTAAAATAAATTTTCCAAAATTCCAGAATTTGCTTTACGTACTAGATAAATCATTCTTACAACTGTGCTGTTTTGGTAATTTAAAAATAAATATAAGTTAATAAAAAATTTCAAAGATTTTTGAGCAATCAGCTGCTACTGCAAAATTGAAATAAAAATCAATTTTTGAATTATTTTATTAATGTCAGGATAATTTTCATGATATCCACTATAGTCACTCTTTTATATTGTCTAATTAATCAAACCGTAAATGAAACAAGTTTGTAAGAGTTTAATTAAAATCGTAATTTATTAATTTGCAATTAAGAAACACTGTATACGTCAGTTCCAGTCTTAAGTGAGATTGTTGGCTGTATTAACTTCTAATTAATGTTCAAATAAAGTTATAAAAAAAACTAGGAAGGAAAATGCAGAACATTTTGAATGAGATTCATTTATACCAGGGAGTTTCATAAAGAATGATCGACAAGATGTTGTCGGAGTATTTATTTAAAGTTGTAGTTGTTTGTGGCGCCTGGATATTGAGTAATTTTGAAATCAAGAACCTTAGAAGTATGTTGAGAGACCACTTCTGGCTCTTCATCTTTATTTTCTTTATCGCTTTCATTAGTATTTTCGGAATCCGTTGCATTTAGTGAATATAGGTTTATAGAAACATTTTTCATATTTCATATTTCGACCTAATTGCGTACAATTTAATGAATTATCCTTTATAAAAAGTTAAAGTTGCCTACTAGATAGCTTATAAAAATGAATTTTTCAGACACAAATTATAATGAGAAATGTGACTATATCGTTCCTGGTTTCAACAATTTTAAAAAATGTCTTTAATTTACACTTTTTAAAATTTGTAGAGAGCGTTTAGTTTACGGTTTACGAGATTCCAATGATGAGTATTAAGAAAGTTGCTCATTTTGCCCCTTACGCATTCCCGTAAAAGAATATTTAGTCCATTTTCAGATTAGGCACGTCCATGTAAAAATATGTATCCCCTTTTGTCCGTTAAGCAAGCTCATATAAAAATATTTGACTCTTTTACCACTTACGCTTGTATACCTACATGTAAAACATATTTGGGCCATATTTGAGACTGCCTATATAAAAATTTTTGACCCTTTGCCTCTCAAACTCGCCTGTGTAAAAATATTTGAAAAATAATATTTGGACCCTTTACCTTATTGATCATTTTATCAAATTCAGATACGAACTCTAATCTGGAATTTATTTAAACATTTGACAAACATGGATTTCTAGTGAAAACGTGAAATCAGTACTCGTGTTGCCAATAATAATATTTGAATTTTCAACTTTAACACCCTGTATTTCGGAAACCAGTAATATTTTATTTCGGTTAATCGTCTTATTTTTAATCAGAGAACCTTCAGTTGTTGTGTGTCCCATTCTTAATTAGACACTCTGCACATACGACCAGAATTTTTTTTTTGCATTTTCAGACTTGGTGTTATTGGAAACGTGGGAAAAAATATTAAAAAGAGGGGCTTACAAAAACATTTTTTGGGTGGCACGAATACAATACTGAGGCATTATAGATAGGGGGCGTTTCCGTCTGTTTTTAAAGGCAGAAATTGAAAAAATAAATCAAATTAGTTATTAATCAATGCCTCTGAAGTATTTATCTAACAGAATTAATGCAAACTTATAATTTCAAAATTTTTAAATTGTTAATATTTCCCTGTATTTAGTTGTAACATTCACAAATTTATTCAGAAACCAACATATTTGAAATTATTATTTGGGAAATCACCTGAATATATGGAAATAATTTTTTTTAATTCACTCCCTGATTTCATTTATTTTAAAAGAAGTCTGAATATTTAAAAAAAAAAACAAAAAATATTTAGCAGAGTCATGTTTTTACAATAAATCTTAATACCATCATATTTTAAGTTAAATGTTTTTCTAATTGTATGTTTATGTTTTAGATGTATTTTTTGAATTCTGTACTTATTATTTATGTCTACTTAATATTTTTATTTGTATAATATACATGACTTATCCTGTATCATGTACCATGATCTTAAATTGATCTTAAAGTACAAATATTATACAGGGTTGCTTTTAAAATCGATTTTCAAAAATAGTCAAGTGTACCTAATCTACCTTAATTTCTGTAAAAAAAAAATGTTAATTATTATCTTTTAAATATACAGGGTGGAGAAAATTTAATTAAAGACTATGGGACTTTCATTAATCGTATTAAATAAAAAGTTGATTAAAGGGGAAAAAATACGTGTCTGTATTTTTTATTTAATGTTTTTCTCTATTTAACCATCTATCACACTAAATATTTTTATTACGATTTAACAATGAACCTCTTCAATTTTTACCTTAAATATTTATAATATTCTTAAAAAAAATTGTTTAAAACAACTGTAGAATTATAACAAATATGAAACTAGGATGCAACATAATAAACATATTGTGAATTACTTAAATTCAGTAAGAATTTTCACTAAATGTCCTCCCTCGTGTTTAAGATATTTAAAGAGTTGTAGTAATTTTCCTTGTTGCAATTCCAGTCATTTTGGGTGTAATAATATTATAGGAATTTCTCTGCCGAAATTCTGGAATATTATGCATTAGTATACATTGTCTTTGAAAAATGCACATTAAAAAAACATTGGATTCCAATCTGGAGACTGTGGAGGCCACTCTCGGGATCCATTTGTTACTTACAGCTCATAGTTAAATTGTAATAAAAAAGTACAGATCTGTATTTAAAGAAAGTAGTTGAGGAAGGCCCATATATAAAGACCTAGGGTAAGATTACAGAAGCTCTGCAAATCGAACTTGCGTCTGCAAATATCAGTTGCAGTTGCAAAAGAAAAACCTGGTATTAGAGAAACGTGTTTTAATTTTTTGCGTGTGCAAATCATCTGTAATTTTGCAGGAGGAGAACATCCTACAAAATTGCAAATTGACAATTTTTACTTTACTTTTTTTTAATAACCATGAAGTCTTCTGTTCCTTTTGATTGAATACAGTTCATGGTGTCAGATTATCGAGTTTTTAAACATAGTAATGGATTTGGGTTTAGTGTTGTTGGGGGTAATAAACCACAATAAATATTTTGAATTTGCGGATATTTTTTGGAATACGAAAAATTGATACTGGCGCCTGAAGTCCGCCATATTTGCAGATCTGCAAAGTTGCCGCCATATTTGCAGATCTGCAAAGTTGCCGCCATATTTGCAGATCTGCAAAGTTGCAGACGTTCTGTAATGTCAGCCGTAGTTTTAAAAATTTGGCTTCGCTATGTTAAACTTTGTAACTGTTGTACTGTACCATAGCATACTGTACCATATTATGTAATTATGGATTATATCCCTGTATTTGACTAAAACGTCGATCGTAATATTCATTTTGATCAATGTTGCGCTGAATATTTACCACAATTTCACTTAGCGTCATCTGATAATGAATAGTTCAACCAGGCCCATGACACTCCCTGGGCGGGAAAAAGACGCGCAGCTTTTACTGCGCTGACGTTTTCGGGATATAACCTATCACTTGTCATAAATCCGGTTAAAAACTCGCTACCATGCGCAGGCAACCCATATTTCGTACACAAATATAAACTTTTGTTTACATTTTATCGAAGTAGTTTTTGTAATACATTCACAGCTTGAAAACGGAAAATTTGTTATTTTGATAGTAGATTTACATCAAAAATACCCCAAATACACTTCAGTGTGTGTTTTATCCTTATTATTGCTCGTTTTATTTGAGGACATTGGAATAAATAGAGTACTAAAAGTAATCAAGCTAAAAAGGTGTGTTATAAAAAGAAAATACATTGCCTTCGACTGATTTATGTTTTATATGTTTTCGTGAAGTATTTCCAACATGCTAGTTACTTGAATGGTTTTAAATTGTACGTGTATAAGTGATAAAAACATCTAGTGCTTTGTGTTTCCTTTTTTTTTGTTGGTGTCCCAGCCCAGCATTCCTAGCCAGCAGTAGTAGCAAAAACATTAACATTGTCTACATTCAACCCATTTACATGTACATGATTTATCAGCTAAAAGCAGAATACAATATTTCTCTGCAAAATGTAAACAATGCTACAAGGAAAATTGCTCATGTATAAATTCAAC